GGAAACATGAAGGATATTCAATGATCAACAAAGAAACAAAATTCTTGAAATCTGGAGGAAGAGATGAAGCTAAGTGGTGTGAGAAGTGTAAAAAGAAACACTTCGGGAAGTGTAACGAGGAGACGACCTGCTACAAATGTAGGAAAACAGGGCATTTCGCCAACAAATGCGCAGCTAACAAAAAGGTGTGCTACGGATGTAACGAATAAGGGCATGTTTCTAGAGACTACCCAAAGAAAAATGCACCGCCACAGCTAATGGCATTCCACATGTTCCTCGACGAAGCAGAAAACGATGGGAGGATTAAAAGAGGAAGACTTCATATTAATATATAAAGTCTGTATCAGGAAGCATAGCCTGCTAGAGGCATAGTATAGGGTGAACTTGAACTTTTGTGTAATAGTTTCAAGAATTAATATAAACCCTGGTTTTGTTATCTGATGTGTTGAATGATTATATGATTTATGTATGGTGACTTGGTTAACTGAGAGATAATACTTGGGACGAGTATGAGTAGGTGTGAATAGTAGTAGAGTTCCATACTACCGGAAGCACATGACTCACGCTTGCATCAGGGCAAGTCACAAGGTTAACAAGAAGCTTGTAATTGAGTTCGTTTTTATTCAAGTATATCATTACCATTGTTTCGGTAATGACTAGTAAGATGGTTGTTATTCCGACCCTAGTGGTCATATCAAATTGAGTCCAACTATGATGAGAGGTCGTTAGAACACGACCCATCGGTTTGTTACATTAGATAAATAAAAGAATTTATCCTGAGAAGAAGAAGGAGTCCACAATAAGGACTTATTTGGTAACTTGAAGGTTACGATTGAAAGTACAACATAGTACGATAAGCCGATGCAAGATTTGGGGATCTTCTGTGGTCAAGAAAGCCATAGAGTTAAATACTCTTTCGAGGAAACATATAAGTTACGGTAATTACCTAGGATGAAGAAATAACGGGTGGAATCATTATGCAAGTCCTATTTCGTTGATGATTCCGGGACGTAATCATCCTAAGGGAGAGATAATTGTAACGCCCGTAGATCCGGGCTAGTCAAATTAGAGATGATAAGCATCAAAAATGACTTTTTGATGGAAGATTATTTAAAAGGATTAATCTTAATCAAGTTTTAGTATATGTCACAAGGTTTTCGTGCATATAAAGAACGCCAAAATCCGAGTTATAACGAAGAAGTTATGAGCTATCGAAGTTTCGCGACAGAACCGGCATGACCCAGCGCGACCCAGCGCGACGTAAATAGTGAATTTAAGGTAGATAGATATCTATCCTTAGTGATCTAAACGAGAGCCAAATAATTCTTCGATAGTAGTCCAACGATAAAAAGACAGACGAAAACGAAGTTCAGATGAAGGAGTTATGCATTTCGAACGGAGTTTTCTTGTCCCAGCCTACCAAAGATAATATATATGTAATATACTTATAATATATTAAAAATAATGTCAAAATTAGCCAATGGATTCTAAAATAGAGTTATAGATCATAATCTCACCTACGTGTCGATATAAAGAACATCAAAAACGGAGTTCGTATGTGAAAGTTATGAATTTCTGATGTTCGGGGCGCAAACCCCAAAGCTGTGTCAGAGACCACGACGTGGCAAGACTTCTGACACCTCCGGGAGTCCCCAAGATGCAACTTGAGATGATGCATGCAGTGATGACCAAGCCCACGATGTGGAAAAAGGTTCCACGACGTGGCAAGGGCTAGTTTTGCCTTATAAATAGATTTGAAGGGCCAACCGAGTTTGGTTGCTCATTCTCTCATCTCTCACCCATATTACCTCGATTTACATGCAAAGAAGTACCCCCGAAGCCCCGGTATCATCCCGATACCCGAAGCGAGTCTCGAAGCCCGAAGATCCCAAGAAGAAAAGAGTTTCCGAGCCGAAGCTCTACCCACGAGGAGTCCGGTTTTTTTGTGAAGATCTTGCAGATCTACTGAAGAATACTACTTCTACAAGCCATGGTGCTGTCTGATCATCTTCTGATCAAGTGAGTGTATAGTTACTTTCTTCTAACACATAAATATAAAGTATTAGCTATGAAATACGTTCTATGTGTTATATGTTATTTGTCTATTTGAGATGGGCTTGGAATTGATGTTTTTATACGGGTGTTAAATGATTTAAATTGTGCTTGTATTTATATCTACAAAAATGTTGGGTAGAACATGGGTAGATGGAATAGTTGGTGACGATGCGACTTTGTGCCTATTAAGTAAAGCTTTGGTGACGATGCGACTTCGTGCCTATTAAGTAAAGCTTTGGTGACGATGCGACTTCGTGCCTATTGAGTAAGATTTGGTGACGATGCGACTTCGTGCGTGTTTGATAAACCTTGGTGACTGTGTGACTTCGTGCCTGTTGTGTAAACCTTGGTGACTATGAGACATAGTGCCTATTATATAAACCATGGTGACTATGTGACGTAGTGCCTGTTGTATAAACACGAGGAGTCCGGTTTTTTTGTGAAGATCTTCCAGATCTACTGAAGAATACTACTTCTACAAGCCGTAGTGCTGTCTGATCATCTTCTGATCAAGTGAGTGTATAGTTACTTTCTTCTAACACATAAATATAAAGTATTAGCTTTGAAATACGTTCTATGTGTTATATATTATTTGTCTATTTGAGATGGGCTTGGAATTAATGTTTTTATACGGGTGTTAAATGATTTTAATTGTGCTTGTATTTATATGTACAAAAATGTTGGGTAGAACATGGGTAGATGGAATAGTTGGTGACGATGCGACTTTGTGCCTATTAAGTAAAGCTTTGGTGACGATGCGACTTCGTGCCTATTAAGTAAAGCTTTGGTGACGATGCGACTTCGTGCCTATTGAGTAAGCTTTGGTGACGATGCGACTTCGTGCGTGTTTGATAAACCTTGGTGACTGTGTGACTTCGTGCCTGTTGTGTAAACCTTGGTGACTATGAGACATAGTGCCTATTATATAAACCCTGGTGACTATGTGACGTAGTGCCTGTTGTATAAACTGTGGTAGCAAATGGACCTTGTGCCAATTCCTTAGGTAAATCCTTAGGAATGAATGGATGAAGGATAGTGGATTCTTAGGGTAAACCCCTGAGAAAATAAAGGAGATATGGGGATGGGTATTTGGGTTGATTGTTTGATAATTGAATATAATAAATGTATTATTGTGGGTTGAAAACCCTATATGCTCACCAGGCTCCCAAGCCTAACCCACTCAGTTTTCTTTGCATTACAGGTAATGGCACAAGGGTATAAGTTGGTGGATTGGACGAGCGATTTTGGATTATAGCTTAGTAGTTATAAATAACTGTTGTAAGGTTTATTTTGTTCTGTTTATGCTTTTGGTCTCTATTAAACATGACATCCCGAGATTTTGTTATATAATGAAAATACATTTCTTTAAAGAAATTCGTTTATAAACTCTTATCATATTTTGTTTTGGGAACAAATTCCGCAACTCTTTTAAATCAAAAGAATTTACTCTGATTTTATATAACAAAACATAAACAAATCGGTCTTTTCTGGTTGTGAAATTAGGGATGTCACATTTACTTTCTTTGCATATCTTATTTTGCTTTTGTGAACTATAAAATCTATATTATGTGTCTATGTGTCTTTCCTATTTGGTCAATTTCATCCCAGATACATGTTGGTGGGTGTTCAATCTTCTAAATTTTATAATCTTCCATGTTAGCAGGTGCTTAATCTTTATTTTCCTTCTTAAATTCTACTTTCATTATTTATAAAAAGAAACACGCAATTGTCTATTCATTGAGTTACACCTTGCACAAATGATTGAATTAAATTTCATCATATGAAGTTGCTTCAAATTGCCATTGAAATTTCATTTGATTAAATGTTGTGTACCTTGTAATAAGAAAATGATAAGAAGGATACGGGAGTTGATGATTGTGAAAATGCATACAAGGTGTTTGATTGAATGTATGAGTGAAATTATATTCACATACATGAATAAATGGACATTCAATTCACTTTTTATGAAATGTGTTCTATGTTTGAATTTTTCTGATGATATTTATTTATTCCTAACACTTTAAATTTTATACAAATACTTGAATATGCTAAAATGTGTTTACTGGTATAACTTATATTTATCGAAAATGTAATATGCATACGTGGCTATTGGAACACACCCAAAACATTTGATTTATTAAAAGAACAAATTGTTGAATGGTTTAAGTAGCAGTGTTCGTTTGGATGGATAGGTTTAATCCGATCCGATAAGGTGAATCCAAATTAATTTCGGTTTTCAAAACGTAGATCCAAATAGTCCAAACTAAATTCAAATCCGATCCTATCCAACCAAGTTATAATTCGGTTGGATCGATTTTTTACAATTCAGTTTTCAAGAATTAAGACATTTCAACAAATATATAACTTTAGTATTAACTTACTTTATAATATAAACTAAAAAATATTTTTTAATTAGTTGTGAATTAAAACTTATAAATAACTATCAAGAAAAATATGTTATAATTTACTATTTTATAGACAATTTTTTTTTATAAGAAGTACATATTAAAGTATTATAATAGATGAAAATTTTTAATATACTAAAAGAATAATTTAGTAAATTTATAAATTATTAAAGATATATATTAAAAAGAACAAAATAATAAATTGCAATTCGAGTTTTTTGAACTATTCGGTTTTTATTTTATAAACCAAAACCAATCCAAAATCCAAAATAATAATTCGGTTTTGCTAAAAACCAAACCAAAAATCCGAATATCCGAACCAAATAGTCCGATCCAAATTGTCCAATTGGACAATTCGGTTTTATCCAAATAGTGAACAGTCCTAGGTTTAAGGATCAAATACAAAGTATCGATATCTTTAATTTGACAGATACCCTTTATTTTCCTCAAAGATAACGTAAATTATCATGTGGTAAAAGCAATTTGTGTTGCTTGGAGTAAAAAACCAACTCATTACACGTAATAGTGAGCCAAAAAAATATGGTAATCAAGAATAATTTCACAACTTTTCTATCCCTGAGTTTAACCTTTATTTTTTTGTTTTGGTCCTAAAAAGATTTGAATTGCAATTCCAATCCATATTTGAGGATTTTGCGTTGTCTTTGACCCTTCTATCATTTGTTTTGTTGTGTAAAATTAATATTTTTAATAACTGTTGGAAATAGTTTTTTTGCAGCGGATTTTCCATACTATTTTTGTTTTATTTTGTTGATTCAAATTTATTTTAGTGGTTCTTAGATTATGAAGTACCTCATGGATTGGAACTAAAGCTCATTTAATAAGATCTGGAAACTAATCATTTTTGTATTTATTTCATTTCAGTAGATCTAGAAACAAGATCTATAAAAATACTAACTTTTATTTGTATTTTTGTTTGTTTCAGCAAACCTAGAATCATAGATCTTTTCGTAACTTCAGGTTTAGTAGCACCTTTTTATTTTCTTTTCACATATGTTCAATTTACTCACATTATTTTTTTTCCAGTTGATCTTTTCCTTTATATCATTCCTTTTTTCTAATACACCTCAATGACTCGAAGAACACAAACATGATGGATTAATATCACAACAATAGCTTAATGGCTTAATATCACAAAAATGTAAAAGTCAAAAGTATATTTCAATTTAATTCCTGATTTTCATGTATTTATGCATATATGTTATGTTTTTTTATAATTTATTCTGATCCAACTTTTATCCTCTTATGTCTTCTATACAAGAAAATATTGTTTAGGTCCATGATGACAATCTCGAGGTTGTTGATCTCGAAGCTTTAACACCATCATCTAGTGCCGGGAAGCGCCCTATTGAGATTGTTGCCACCACTGACTCTTTGGAGTGGTCTTCTTCGAAAGGTGGTGTTGTTTCCGCTACCTTTAAGATCCAAAAAAATGGAAAAGTTAAGGTATTATGAAGCCACCCATCAGCATTTTACATGTTTTTGAAATTTGGTTTAGATGCTATTTGGTTTGAACATGATGTTATTCGTGTTATTTATGATAATTTCATATTATTGAATTATTTTGTGGTAATGAATATTATGTTTCTTTTACTTTTATTCATGATTTGATTTTGTAGCATTTATTTTATGTACATTATTATTGTGCATGAACATAGCATATATCGTATGCCTACAAGCTTACTTAAAATCTATGCATGTTTAATGTATTATCGGTTAAGTCATTTGAATACTAAATTACAATATTTTTCTATTATCATGTAGGACATAAATTGTTGATCATTGTAACATGGTACTTGTATCATGTTGACACATACGAATCGATATATATTGGTGTCAACATGTTTGTCGTGTATCTTATCACATGTCTTCAAATATGGTAAGTTTACAAATTTCTTTTCCAACACCACTTTTTTTATTACATATGCTATTTCAGCTTCTTTTATTCGTCAAAATGAAATTTAAATTTTATTTGTGTAAATATACATCGTTTGCATATGGCAACAAAATAACATCATACACCCGAATGTGCAATCCATATTTATTTCGTCAAGGTCGTCACTTTCACAAATAAACAATCAGAGTAAATTATTCTTAATTTTTTTTATATTATATTTACACCCACATCTTAAATCATATAACATCAATTTTAATTTCCCAATATATTAAGTATTATCATTAATTTTTTAATACATATATGTTTATAATGTTTAATTTGTATAAGTTATTTTTTCCTTTAATATCGTATTTATTGTTTGATATATATTATTCTTCTTTAGTGCATGCAGGTATTCCCAATCTGTTTGTATACTGTACTTATTCCTTCCATAACTGTATAAATTTATATTTTTTCCTAATTTAAACTCTTCTAATATTTAATTCTCATGTTTAAAGGTTTAGAAATCATCAATATCAGTGTGTGTGTGTGTGTGTATATATATATATATATATATATATATATATATATATATATATATATATATATATATATATATAACCAAGAACACAAACCAAATCAAACGTAGGCGTGGCAATTTATGATACGATACGAAGAAAATACACGACACGAAACGAAATTGCGATGAAACTAAAATTTGAATTCGTGTTCGTGTTAACTGTAAAAACACGATGTCGTCATGTCGTGTTCTTGTTCAAAATTCTACACGAAATTGACACGATTTAGTAGTTCTATATCGTGTTTTTGTGTTTGTCATGTTTGCCGAGTTATAGTTGATAAAATATTCATTAAATAACCTATTTTTTAGTATATGTTTTATTTATCATGTCTTGTCGTGTTTGTCATTTTTTAGTTCGTTCGTTTTTGTGTTAGTTAAAAAAACACGACATCGTGTCGTGTCGTGTTCGTGTTACATAAAACATTGTCGTATCGTGTCATGTCAGACAGAAACACGAAACGATAGCACGATTTTCCAACCCTAATCAAACGTATTGAAATGAGTGACATTTCATATGTTTCAAGAAAGAAAAAATCTAAAAGTTATGTTAGTAATATTTTACCCATCAGCTCTTCACCAACCACACCACTGTCTTACATCACAAATGGAAAAATTCATATTTAAGTATTATATTTATGTTTTCAACGCTTAAATATCTATAATGTTTAATTTGTATAACTATTTTTTCCCTTAAATTTGGTATTGAGTGTTTGATATATACAATTGTTCTTTAGTGCATGCACCATCTTCATCCAGTGCTCTAAAAACATCATCTCATTATGGCGTGAATATATAGTTTTACGTTTAATAGTAACATGAGGCTTCAATTTCGTTGTCCAACTAATGATTTGATGAGACAATCATTTTTTGAATAGAAACTTAACATTACTGAAGGTAATATTGGTTGTCTAAATGATAGTGAAGCTGAAGTTGACTTTCCAGAAGACGTTATCGTTCGCTCTACATGTGACCATATTCTTTCAGTTGAATTGACCATTTATCCGTCTTTTCAAAAGCATCTTGATGATCCATCATATCTTCAAGATAAAACTATTTTGGTCCCTACAAATGAAGAAGTCGATGCTATCAATGAATACATGTTAGGATTGATGAAAGATGAAGGGAAAACTTATCTTCGTATTCTTTATGTGAGACAGAGTCAACATATTGTTTTGAAGAAACAGTTTACTCTCTGAATATATTGAATGCTTTTTAGGCATCTAGAATTCCCAACCATAAACTTACACTAAAAAAAGTGTTCCTGGCATGTTGCTTCGTAATATTGACCAAACCACATGTCTATAAAATGGTACTAGGTTACAAATAATTAGACTTGGAAAACATGTAATTGAGGCACGAATTATAGCCGGAAGATTCTTCAATGAGACTACTTATATACCTCGCATTAATTTAACTCCGTCTGATAAAAGAATTCCCTTCCGTTTTCATCGGACGCAATTCTCAGTAGTTGTTTGTTTTTCTATGACCAATAACAAGAGTCACTGAAAACCATTATCAATTGTTGGAATGGAATTTGCGTAGACCCGTATTCACTTATAGTGAGTAATATATAGTTGTTTCTTGCGTAACAAGTAAAAAAGGCTTGAAGGTACTCATATGTAACGATGAAGGTCGTCCAACCAATAAAACAAAAAATATTGTCTACAAAGAGATCCTTCAACGATTATAGATAATTAGAAATTTCGTTTTATTTTTTAGAAATTTCAATATAATCAATAATATGAATTCTCTTTATGTTACTTTATCTTTTTTTTATTGTGTCGGCTTTTTATAACTTTATATGTAGTTTTTATAAGTTCCCTGCGTTTTACGCGATTTATAATCTAGTTCAAATATTAATTCACATTTATTATTTACTATTAGCTGGATTCATTGTTCTTTTTTGAATTTTAAAATTTCAAATTAGTGATTATCTTTCTAGATTTAAAAAAATAATAATAAAAAGCTAAAACCTCTTTTAGTATATATATATATATATATATATATATATATATATATATATATATATATATATATATATATATATATATATATATATATATATATATATATATATATATATATATACTTGAAATCATGTAAAATTGCAACAACTTTTGATTTCCTACTTTTCAAGGGCATAAAGCTTAAAATATGTCTAAGTTGTTGAAATATACACTTCACCCCTAAAGACATGACCCTAAATTTGGCACAAAGTTGTTACCCCGATACAAATAAGCATCGAGCATTAAGGGTTTACACATAAGTTCCACAATTTACACACAACATTGAAGGTACAAAGGTAAGCATTTTGTTACAAAAAGACAAACAAAGGTAAGCATTTTGTTACAAAAAGACAAACATTTCAATATATATATATATATATATATATATATATATATATATATATATAATTTAATTTTTATTCTAGCACAAAAAGTGTTGATACATAAATAGTAAAAAAATATATTTACGGCTTTTGATACATAAATATTTTAAAACTTATTTGAGGTTGAAGAGTAGGTAAAAATATCAAATAGTCGCATACATACACTCATGGCCACTCTGCTCATAACCACTAACACACAACAACAACACATAAAACAACCAAAAATGAAAAGAGATGGTAAGAAAGTGCTTACCTCCAATTTGCCAGTACCAACCATGGGAGCCTTCAAATTTTTAACTTTAAGGCTGAAAATATTCTACAGTAGGAAAATGCAACATGTTTCCTTCTTAATCTCTCTGCCAATTCCAACCACCAAAAACATCCTTCAGTAACGGTTCCTAGCCAGAATAAAGAAAATAATTAAAAAAGTTAAACATTTTGTGAATAGTGACCGTTTGTTATAACATAACTTTGAAAATGCCGAAATTTGTAATCTAGGGGGTATCTTGCTTGAAAATTATAGAAAAAAAATGCACCTAGAGAGAATGTAGTTTTGGGAACAGACACCGACACCTAAATAGTTGTGCTCGCCAAAATGGTCTTATATAACTGCTAAATTTCTGTAAGTTTGCATCATCATTTCATGTAAAGGTTATTAATAGTATGTTACCTAGAATAATACTTAGTTGAGAGGTTGAACACTTAACAAAGCATTACAAACCAGAATAACAAATAACTACTAAATTTGTGTAAGTCTAGATTATTCTAAGTCAGGTGCTAAATTATAACCTTAGATATATCTAGCCAGTTACCAAAAGCCCTTGTTCTCATTTCTTGTCTCTTCATTGGCTTAACCTTTTTCCATTTTGAAAGTCATCTCTTTTAAGGTCGGGACCTAATTAAATAACATACACACATAAACAAAAATAAGAAGCATATAATGAAAATCTAATGATTTTAATGGTTGGAAATCATACAAGTGGTTCAAAGTGAGTGGTGTCTGTGATCCACTTGGGCACATATTTGTTTTTTTCACTCTAATTCTTTTGAAACTAGATCCACCTCCATCTCTAAACACACTTATACATATCACATCCTAACTACCTGAATATGAGACCACCGACCTGAAATTGAAATCAATAGTGAAAATATCAAAATCATTTTCATGATGAAAAACTAAGAACCAGATAGAGAGATTAGGATCAACTGGTCAAGATATGTTTAAAACCTTGTGATGAAACCATAACAGGGGTTTCACAATGACAACAACATCTAGAAAATTGTTTTCCTTTGATGAGTGACTCCACTCATTCAGTTCACGGGATGATGAACACACAAACACGCAAAATTATATTAAAAGTGATTTACATTGGTTGCAAAGGTTATAATTATGATTATTTATTCTTCTTACATGAGAGCAAATTTGGAGGTAGATCAAGAAGAACCATCTCAAGAACTACCTGTACCTGGAACCATTTTACATAAAAACTAAATTACTTCCTTCAAATGAAATAGGAAAGATGGGCTAGAAATGTTGGCGAGGAAGTATAACGAAAACGAATAGAAGGTTAAGATGGTGGTGGAAGATGTCGGTGAATCGAATCCATCTCTATCTGATTTTAGAAACTATGGGTCAAAACATGGGTTCATCATATCCTTCTCCATCTGATTGATGGAAAACACGAGTGCAATCAAATTTGAGTGAGGGCAAGGGAAATAAAGATGGGAATTAAAAGGGACAAAAAATACCTTAAGACATTTGCGGTTGTAAGTATTGGTGTCATGTAGCTACTAAAACTCCAAAAGTTCAAAAAACCCATATTAAATCACAATAAGAAATCAAGAACATGCTCATAAATGAAGAACCTGTTAGGTTAGATGTCTAAGTCCATAACTATAATTGGTATGTACTTAAGCCGTTAGTAGCATGGTCCTTTTGGGTTGCATTCACCAGAGCAATTTGATAGGATGGATATTTGAGAAAGAGGTTATTTGTGATTTATTAATATATTATAATAATAATATATTAATTGAGAAATCATATTATCTAATTGGTATTGGTCAAGAATTAATTTGGAGTTAATTTAGTGATCAAAAGAGACTGATTAAATTAATGGTGACTGATTAAGTAAATCATTAATACATATAGTTTGGGGCTAATGATCCATGCTGATTAGGATGGACTAATTTTATGTGGGAGTCCATGAAGAGTTAGTCTAAAGGGCTTGTCATATGGATTATTGTACTAAATGCCCAAGGAAGTGAATTAGGGTTTACAAGTGAAACCCTAGGAATTCCACAATATAAATGTAACCCCTAGTATCACCAAAAAAGCCCCTAAGAGTTTCAAGAAGAACCCTAGCCATTTTGGTGCCTCATAGCCTCTCTCTTATTATCCTCCATTTGCTTTTGGTGTTTTGTGACTCCATTAGAGGCATCACATATAAGTGGTAAACTCTTTAAAGGTCAAGTTCTACAAGCTACAACAAAGAGGTAATCATCATACTTGTAAATTTTATGTTTCAATTATCAATGTTGTATGCTCGTTGGGCTTCATGCTTTGGTTCATGAAAATTGCATGTATGACTAGAGAAAACATAGATCCAAAGCAATTAGGTTTAAATGTGCACCACATGGATGTTATAGTGCTCAATACCCATCAGTGGTATTAGAGCCTAGGGTGTTTTCTATTATATTGATGCATTGTAAATTCTTCAAAGCAAGGAAATCGTTATTTTTTTTTTTTGGAATCTGCCCGACGACCACGACGTGGTGACTTTTCAATGGGCAGATTTTCAAGTTTCGGATTAGGATCATTACCACAAACTGTTTTGACTGATAAAAATCATTTTTATGATAAGGTAATGATTATCTTCATCCAAATTAAAGGATAATTGTCAAAATTTTAAGATGATTGCTAGTTGACATGATAAGCTAATTATTTGTATTATTTGATTTGAAATTATCTTACTCTATGAGTTGAATTAGATCAAATCGGTAAATGATAAAAAAAATGTGATTATTTTACTTGTTTAAAATTTAATCTAAATGGCTTTGAAGAGTTACAAAACTTGCCATCAAGTTTTGGAATTCAAAAGGTCTTAAAGAGTTACAAAAGTTGCCATCAAGTTTTGCAATCCAAAAGGTTTTGAAGAGTTTTAAAACTTGTCCTCAAGTTTTGGAATTTAAAAGGTTTCATTTTTGAAATATTAAAGTCTAAATCCCTAGAAATTTGAAAAGGTTCATAAGTGAACCTCTTGGTTTTGTAACTTAAAATTTAATTAAATAACCTTAATTTTGAATTCTTAAATTTAGAACCTTGATATTTTGCATAGTTCCAATTACACCGTTATGGTTTTATTAAAAGAGATAATTATTAAATCCATAATGACATGATTTAAGTTTAATTAAATTAAAAAAAAAAACCCATATTAAATCACAATAAGAAATTGAGAACATGCTCATAAATGAAGAACATGCAATTGAAAACAAAACTAAGGACAAAAGAAATCATAGATCCACGACACTGATCTACATATTATTATAGAAAGAAAGGGAGAGGGATAGCGGGTGAGAAACCTTGGTCGTGACCCTATGTTTCTAGAGAGATGGAGGAAGAGAGAAAAAGAAATGACCAATACAAGTTGTGTGCTTGTGTATGATTGGAGCTCTAGCGGCGGTCGATGGAGCTGATGGTTACAACAGTTTCAACGAAGGAAGATGAAAAGTTTTCAAGTATTCTGTAGGTGGATGATGGAGGTGTCGAAGGTGGTGAGAGGTAGTAACATGTATGGTGAAGATTTACTT